ATGAAAGAAAAACTAGTCAGAAAGAAATAAAGAATTGGACGAAGTCTGTAAAATAATGGGTCATGCACTTTTGACAGGAAAGATGTAAATGACAGACAAACAGCAGAAGGAAGAATTAGAGATAAATAAGTAAATATAGTAGCAGTTAGAAAAAGTGAAACAATGAAGAATGTGAGACAGAGGGAAAAAAAATACGGAAGCAATTAGACAATGAAGGTGAGACTGAATAAAGAGAGAGGGGGAGCAAGAGAGAGAAATAAGAGAAAATATGGAAGCACTTAGTCAAAGAAGACCATACATAAAGAAAGAGGGAGAACAAGAGAAAGCGAGAGAGAGAAAATTATGGAAGCAATTAGAGAAGGTGGGAGTGAACAGTGTGAGGGGGAGAGTAAGAGAGATGCAAATAGGAGAATATGGAAGCAATTAGACAAAAAAAAGGTCAGAGCGTAAATAAAGAGAGAGAGAAAGAGAGAAAGAGACAAGAAAATATGGAAGCGATTTGAAATGGTGAGACAATGAATAGAGAGAGTGAGGGAGATAGAAAGATCAAAAGAGAAATGAATAAAAAGAATAAGATAAGTAAAAAAAGAAAAAAAAAAGCAGACAAAGAGAAAGACAGAAAAAATAGAGAGGAAGAGAAAGGGAAGAAGAAAATCAGAGGAAGAGAGACAAATAGAAAGAGTGAGAAAGGAGAAAAAAAAGCATTTATATTATGTATGCAGGGAAACATCAAAAATGTAGATGCTTTTTTTTTTTTTACATATGCTTCTTATTTGCATTTATGTAGATTCTATATATATATATATATATATATATATATATATATATATATATATATTTATATAAAGAGAGAGAGAGGGGGGGAGAATCATAGGGATGAGGGAGAGAGCTATATCTTGAAACAAGACTAAATATCATCACCTGCCTTTTATCTCTGTAGACACATTAACCCAAATAAGAGTCATCACAATCAAATTATGTAACATAGTTATGTCCCTTGGGATATCTAGCTTGCACAATTTTAGTCAACTGAGCTCAGATTGGTTTGGCTGTGAGCATTGCCCTTCTCCTTAGATTCCTTAATCTGTTAATTTTCTTCGCCTGAGGCAATTCCATCCAAACAACAATATTCTATCAAATCTACATAGCTTATGGCAGGTTGCAACTAAAACTCAGTTATACAGATTTCTGAATTACAGCAACAGGTTTTACACTATTTACATTGTTCAGACTATTGTCCTCATCTTTACTGTCATATTTACGAAGCTTCGGCCCTTGTATACTCTAGTCTTCTTCAGGTGATATACCTTGGAATTTCAAACCAAATTTCATCCACTGGCTAGATTTTTTCTAGTTCCACATGCCATGCCTTTTCTGGATATCACAATTTCAGTTATTTCTCCAAGTTTTTATTCACCTCTTCTGTGGCCAGGTATTGAACTCACAACTATTTGTGTCAAGTCACTGGATTACTTCAACCAACGCTTTTATCCTTGAGGATAAAAAAAAAGAAATATAGACAGATAGAAACAGCTTTATTTCTTGGGCATTTCAGTTCTTCATTGATTTCTTTCTTTCTTAAGGCTTATCAACCCTTTTGTAGGTTATTTAAAGCCGGAATGTATTTTTAGATGGGGGAAAAGACATGGATTCATGCCTTTCTCAAGGGTAACTGCACATACATGAATATAATGAACCCAACTGGAATTGGAACTCGGCTCTCAAATTAACAATTCTAAATCATTATCCATTACACCACCTGCAAATTCAAGCTCCAAGCAGTCACCCATCTGAGTACTGACAAGGCTCAACATTGTTTAACTTTGATGATTGTACAAGAACCAGTGTTTCAATGTGAAAGCCTATTCAGTTCTGGATGTTGTTTAAATAACTGACAAGGTCTGTCTGTTTATTTATTATTGCGTTTTTCCAATTTTCAAATAAGGTGTTCTGTATTGGGACTGAAATTGTGGATAAAATGTCCAAAGTTCATTCGGTGTTATTATTCAAGTACCATAAGGAGTCTTATAACGTGTAATGAATGATATGTAGTATGTTTGATGATGAAACCTTACATATAGTCACATATATACATGCACACACACGTACACACAATTTCACATGTCTTTTAATACCATGTTTCTTCAAGACTATGATTTTCCTCGGATTCCTTTCCTTTATTATCCATGAATTTCCATAGCTTCTGTGGAAAGATAACAGAGGATTTAGGATTACCTTTTCTATGATTTATATTCAGAGTAGATTGGCTCCTAGCCTGGCTGCCACTCAAGGCTAAAAGACCCAACCTACCCTGATATTTAATCCATAGTTAAAGATAGAGGAGGTGAAGTCATACCAGACCAAAAAGCATTAATAAAAAAAAAGAGGGTAACAAACTAGGCTGGGATTTGAACTCAGTTGTTTTGTTTTACTTGTGTTCGAGGACTTAGAACTGTTTCAGTCATTGTCAGTGTGGTAGACAAGATTTTGTTGGGTATACCCTGGTATTTTTTTTTTTTTTTTGGCATGAACTTTGGACAGTTTATCTGGAGTTTTGATCCTTATGTACATCTTATTTAAAAATTGGAAATGCACAAAAAAAAAAAAAAAAGTTTTGGCACCATGAACATGACTTCTGTTAATCAGTCCTTCTGAAAAGTGTGTCTGTTTCCACACAAGCCTTCACCATTAGAATCGGATCATCCATGTGAGGAGTCTAGTGGCCCAGTTCTAAACTGAACTGTCACATCGTCATACATTATAGTTAAGAATTGAGATAGAGAGAAGAAAAAAGTGGAAGAAATTTGGGCTGAGTTGAGAGACAAACAGTTGTTATTGATCTATAAGCTAGTTTAAGTATGACCTGAAAAATCCATGGACATCTGAGGAAGCAGAATTCTATACTGTATATCACATATAAGATGATCTATATAACAATAGATAAGCTAAGTAACAGCCAAGTTGTGAACATGAATAATAATGTAAGAAATAGAGAAGGTCCCCAAATCATTTTTTTTTAAATCATTTCACCCTAAGCAAGGCAATAAAGCCATTAAGATGCAAGAGGTTACTGCGTGTTAAAGGAAAAAAAGAAAATATTATTAACGAGAGAGAACACTAAAAGAACAGGAATCAAGAAGGCAGAAGATAACGATTCCCATTGCATTTCAATTTTTGAAGAAGCCAGAAGAAAGCTCCACAAGTAAGAAGTGCGAAAGAAGAAACTATTAGCATAGAACTTACGGTTCCATCTAGCCATTTCAACTGTAAAATGATGAGACCTTAAATTACCAATCTAGTACTACACTCGAATTCTTGGTACCGAAAAGGAAAGTTCATCAGAACAATTATCATAAAAGTATTTATATAAAAGGTATAGAGAAACTACATTACAACATGGGAAAGGGACTGAAGCTGAGATGCCAGGTCAAGACTGATAACATTGCAGATGCTTCTTTGTATCTCTAAATACATAACAGAAGCACCAGACCAGATGTGACAACAATATTTACACATGGGGAAAATGGTAGACTTATCTAGACACAGTGTACCACCACACACATACTTCTCTCTCTCTCTCTATATATATATATATATATATATATATATATATATATATATATATATATATAAAATAATGAAAAGTTAAAAATTATTTACACTCTTGTTTACAGATATGTTGTGATAAAAGTGTGGATAATTTTTTTACTTCTCATATATATTGATAAAATACCTTAAAATAGAGACTAGATGGTTTTACCCTCCTATACCTGTTGAAATTTATTTTTTCTTTTTTACTACAGTTCATCCCATGCAAGGCCCAAGTGCCACTCAATGTAGAGGGGTACTGAATGAATGAGGTGTGTCATATGAACAAAAGGGAAGGAAATAGGAAGTGAAGGTTCATGAGAATAGGATAGACCAAGAATGATTCAAGGAAACTTCCTCTCAGGAGTCTGTTCCACAAAGTAGTTATTCTTGGGAAGAATCTTTCAGAGAATCACATTCTTACCAAAGGCATATGTCCAGAATGAAAGTGATTCAGTACTATGAATGTAACAAGGTAGCTCTTGGATGTAAAGGGCTGAACTGGTGGCACTAAAGAATGAAGCTCGTCTGGACATTTTCTATGGAAATAGTGATAAAGCAGCGATAGGCTTGCGACATTGCATCTGTGGGAAAGGGGTGGTAGGTTGGAAAATAAGCCATCTCCCATATGGCCATGTAAACAATTTAGAAGTCTGTCAAGGCTTGAAAAGTTGCAAGCCTATTGCTACACTATCACTATTTCAATGGCAAAGGTTCAGACAATCTATATTTCCAAGCTCCACCACTTCAGACCTACACAGCTAAAGACCCCACCATCCTACGTACCCATCGCTGAATCATTCTCATTTCCTTTGTAAGAAGTAAGTTTCACTTAGACAGCTTCTTCCCAAGAACCTGATACTTTGTGAAACAGCCTCCCAAGAGGATGCTTCCCTGATCACTATAATCTTAACCTCTTCAAGATTGTTATCTATCCGACATATTCTCATACACTGCACAGACTTCCTCTATATAATAACCTCATTAAGGAATACCTTAAGTGGCTCTTGGGCCTTACATTGGGAGAAAACAAACACAACTAGTAATAACTGAGCAGTGCTAAATAATAATTAACCCAGATGAGATATCCTTAGACATGGACAACAGTCTACTCTCATGGATTAAATAAAAGGTGCAAATTGAAATTCTCTGAATTGATTAATTTTTTACAGCTTACCAACCTTTTGCAGGTTATTCCAAGCCATAAATATTTGGTGGGGGGGTCATAAAAACTCTTTTGGAGATAAGTTACAAGTTCGACTATTTAACCAATAGCTGGAGAAGAAAAGGTGAATTCATAGCTCTCCCAAAGATATTTGCATGTAAGGGAATATAATCTGACTGGAATCGGAAACTGGCTAACTGATTTCCAATTCCAAGCCGTTATCCATTACACCACCCACACATCCAAGCTTACAGCACCTGGTATTCCCAAGCGGTCACCCATCTAGGTACTGGCCAGGCTTAACTTTGGAGATCGTATGAGAAATGGTGTTTTAATGTGATATGGCCATAAGCAGAAATTGTCTGAAGGTTATACGAATTTACATACATTTGAATAAAGTCAAAGGTCATAATGGAGAGAACATGATAGCGGCATTAAAGATGATGACTTTAGTCGCATGGTATATAACGCTTTGCCTTCCTTCACCCATTGTAATTGTCCTGGCATAACAGCGAGCTTCTGTTGACAGACAGAAAACCCATATTACTGATACCAAGTAAAAGATTAACACATAATAGTCGAAAAGGCAAGATTTGACATGCAATATTTGGATTCATACTATTTGTTCATTTATTGGCACCATGCACTTGTAATTCTCTTTAAAGAATTTCAAAGACTGATATCTGATTACAAATTCCACACATTGATTGGCACAACTGAGGTTAACTCATTTGCTTATGAAAAATAGGGGAAAAAATGTTTCAGACCAATTTTTGTAGATTAGCATTCCTAAACCTTTGTGGATAGAAGAATCAGTTTGAAGTTCCTTGAAAATTATCTGAATTTACATATGCCATGAACATTGTAATGAACCACTCACATTTCCTTTTGTTGTAACCTAGGGATGGTTACTGAATAGAATAAGCAAACAAAGGTTGGTATTAAACGATAATACTTAGGACAAGAACAACACATATAAGATTTGCCAGCGGCGGGTAGAATAAGTAGTCAACTGCTAGAATGAGTCAAGTGAATTCCACAATGAATCTCCAACTGCAGGATATCTACCCCCTCCCCCACGCGGTCAGAAACGTGGTACAAGACTGAATTTAATGTGGGGCATCTGAGCCCATACGCTCGGCCAAAAATTCCCCACAGACCCCGTATAAAATGGTGTGGGGTAGCTGTCTCCTGAGACGAGACTCTGCCCTTTGACATAGCCTCATCTGGGGATCCTCTTTGCCCAGAGGCAGAGAGTTTGACCAGCACAGCTGGAGACGAATCTCCAACTGCAGACCAACATACAGTATTTACTACTGTATTTATATGAATTATCGTTGTATGCTACAACACCTTTGTATTCCATTGCTGACATCTAAGCGCCATTTGAGCAACTTCTTCCCATGAATCATTGCTTTGTGAACTAACTCCCAAGAGGATGCTTCCCTAATCACTACAACCTTAACCTGATCAAGTCTAAGGTCAACCGTTATCTTCCCCTTATTCCCCATAAACTGTGCTTTTTACTTTACCACAAGTGGCTCTTGGACCTTATATAGGGTGAACATTATTGTAAAAAAAAAAAAAAAAGAAAAAAAAACTATAGTAGACCAAAGGTTACAATGGGTGAAATGTGATACCTGTAACAAAGATGAGGATATTACTCTCATGATAAATGTTTTGATAATGAACACAACTGATGTTGTCCTTTTTTCTTAAAATCAGCGATGTGCGTACAGTTCCAAACTTGACATTTCTTTTGGTTGATTGATTCATTTTCTATGGCTTATCAACCCTTTGCAGGTTAATTAAAGCCAAAAAATATTTTTAGATTGTAAGAATTTTTTTGTGATAATAATGGTTTAGTGATACGTCTTACTAATTAACCCATAGAAGGGAGGAGAAGAGGTGGATTCATGCCTAATCAGAATTTGATAAAAAAAATAAAAGAAATTATGTGGATGTAAAGTGGGAGATCAATTCTATAATACAATCACTATATAAGCGAATCCCTCATTTTGTGGCCATGGTAGTTTCTATACAGAGAATGTAAATAAATCTAAAAGACATACCTGTCTAGTTAATCAGTATTTCATTGACTGACTGACTGATTCGTTTTCTACAATTTGTCAACCCTTTGCAGTATGTTTAAAGCCAAAAAATATTTTTAGATTGTAAGAATTTTTTTTTGGAGATAATAATGGTTTAGTGATACAAGTCTTACTAATTAACCCATAGAAAGGGGAAGAGGAGGTGAATTCATACCTTTTTGAAAGGTATTTGCATGTAAATATAATGAACCCAATAAGGAATATAATGGACCCAACGGGAATTAATTATTAATTAACTATTCCAAGCCATTATCCATCATACCACCCATACATCCAAGCCTGAAGCATTCCCAAGCAGTCACCCATCTAGGAACTGACCAGGCTCAACATTGCTTTATACGGGAACTGCTGTTTTAATGTGATGTGGCTGTAAACCATACTACCTGCATTTCCAAGTGGTCACCCATCTAGGTAGTGACCAGACCTAGCATTGCTTAACTTTGCTGATTGTACAGGAACCGATTTTTCAATATGATGTGGCTGTAAGCCCCTGACACAAATCATTTTTTAAGTAGTCAGTGATTGATTTGACATTGCATTTATTTTAACCGTAGGAGCCCACTTTTCTAAATGTGTGGTGACGAAGGAGAAAACAAAGTTTTACATCGAAAAAGAATTTGTGCTTCTCTAGATCGGGGCAACTTTAGTAGGCCGTGAAATATTCTAATACACATTCCCCTATCAGTCTTGATCTAGCCGTTCTTATTTACACTATTTACATTGTTGCCATATTCACAACGTTTCGACTGCTGTACACTCCAGCCTTCTTCAGGTGACTAGAATTTTGAACCAAACCCTTTATTTCGTCCACCACAGTAGATTACTCTAGTTCCACGTGCCATGCCTTTTTCTGGATGTCTCAGTTTCTGTTATATCCCTTTAGTAACCTAACTCTCCAAGTTTTTGTTCACTTCTACTTGGAGAGTTGAGTTAAATCAAAGATAACTGATAGTGAGATATCCGGAAGAGGCATGGCATGTGGAACTAGAACAATGTATCTTGGTGGACAAAATAAATGGTTCGGTTTGAGATTCCAGTCATTTGAAGAAGGCTGATGCGTACAACGGTTGAAATGTCATGAATATGGCAACAAAGATGAGGACAATAGTCTGAACAATGTAAATAGTGTAATAATTACAATACCTCATCTCAGAAATATATACAGATATAACCATTCTTACACCACTAAAAGAATGATAGTTTGGATGACAGGAGAAACTCTTTGTGGGTGAAGAAGGTAGTTGCGTATTGCGAGTTGTGGATGTGAATTCTTTACCCCTTTTTGATTTGCGCCCGTGGCATTTTCTGATGTAGAACTTGCATGACCGATTTATGACCTTTGAACTTACAACCTCAGACTTGCAAAATAACAATTTTTGGTTTTGACAAATGTGGGTTGAAAAAGGTCTTCCCTTCAAGACATTGGCGATCATGGCTCACAACATTTTCCTGTCTTTCGTAGCTCTTTATAAATTTTATCTTTTTGTTCTCTCTCCTAAACCTTGTTCCATCATTCATTTACTCAAGCTCACTAGGTACGTTGTGCATTGTTTTTCTCTGTCCACCTTGTCTTCAATCTGTCCTGTGAGTATCAAATTTTCCAAGCCCTCTTTCCCCATTATGTGACCTAGAAATTTAAACTATTTCTTTGTGATGTTAAGTATAAGTGTCCTTTTTGTTTCCATTTTTTCTAAAACTTTGCCATTGTTTACATTGTGCCTCCATGGTATCCTCAGCATCCTTCTGTAGAACCATATGTCTGTTGTTTCAAGTCTCTTCTTCATCTGTTGGATTGTCCAACATTCACTGCTATATAGATATAAGATAATGGTTCAGTTCCTTGTTTCTAACAAACTTTAATGAATGCTAATCTAAAAATATTTTTAAAAAATAATTTTTTACCCTATTTATGGGCAGACCAGCTAAACCAAGTAGTACCCTTTGATATGAAGTGTAAAAGTTCTACTGATAAGTGCTAATTACTTGGGCTTAGTTCTGGAATGTTCGTTAAGTTGTAAACAAATAAAGTAATAGTTGAATGGGTGTCGGCTTTGAGGGGTTAACATTTGCCTGGCAGCAATTTATTTTGAGTGAATCGTTAATGAGAAGTCTCAGTTACGTTAGGTTGGGTGATTATACAATCTAGTTATTTACCTTGGGATGTGCAGGTGGTGTAATAGTTACTGGTCTCAGAACAAGAAATCAGCAAATCAAGTTCAAATTCCAGTGGAACTCATTACATTCACTTTCTCACAAATACCCTCAGCAAAGGTAGGAATCTATCTCATCTCCTCCAAGCAATGAGTAGAATAGACTGGGGCCTTCAGCTTTAGTTGGCAACTAGTCTAAGAGAAGGGCTAGCAAAATATAACAAAAACATATTTACTGTGGAATCCATTGCAGCAATCCCTAATGTGATAAAAGCTGTGACCCCATAATTATTAGTAAAAGCTACAAAACTTAGGTGAATAAGAGTTTAAGGTATTTACCTACCTCCCCATAGTGGCAGGATGGTTTAATGGGAAGTGCCCATATGAAGCTGACACCAGTATCCACTAACCCATTCCCCTTTTGTGCAATGAGGGAGGTGCTGCCACAGAGTTGGAATCTCTTGGGCCAGATTTTCCTCCTAACAATAAAGTGGCACATTTCACCTACAGGAAGGGATAGTGGTTTGGTTACTGACAATCTTTCTTTCGTAAGACTTCTTAATCTAGTCCGGTCGTTATTAATTTCATTGTTTAAGAAATAAATAAATAAACAAGGAAAGCAACTCAAACACGTGTACCCACTAAAAATATTGTTTATAGCAATTAGAAATAAGGTTAGAATAAAAAAATTCACTAGCATTGAAAAAATAGAAATAGACACAAAAGATAACCTTAGAAAAATACTAGAGGAACATGAAGACAAATGGATTTTGCGCCTCAAAACATTTTGTCCAGACAAACTTAGCCACAGACTAAACACAGATAGAATATATAATCCCATAGATCAACACCCACCCTACTTTCCCAACCACACTAGACAGGCAGAGTTTTCTGACATATGCACATTCACACAAATATATACACATACACACATTACACACACTCCCAAAAAACTAAAAGATAACGTACACTTAACACACACATCCCCTTCCCAGCAACCAATAAAGCTGCCAAAATGACTAAGGACGGAATTCTGAGACTCATGAATCTCCCAGCCTCTATTAAAAAAAAAACTTAAATGAGGACATTA